TGGTACTAGCGTCTAGACTGCCAGTGCAACTCCGAGGAACGAGGATCAGATCACCCCCCACCACCGCACCATGTCATACGCTTCCGTTCCGAATCATGCCGGCACATCAGCATAGCCTAACTCTTCGCGGAAAATTGTTATCTCTATCAAACTGTCGCTGTCAAAACGTATCGTTTATAGGTTAAATTTAAATTAAAAATAATTAAACTGTCATAACCTAACCAAACTTGCTGATAATGAAAAACTCGAATGAAGGTTTACTAATCGAAAAAATAGTTCTGTTCTAAAAATAAAATTATTAGTGTCTCAAATTAAATTTTATAAATTTAATGATAAAATTAAACTGTCATAACCTAACCAAACCAACCAAACTTGCTGATATGAAAAAAATTGATGACAAAAAGTTAGTGCAACCAAATAGTTCTGTTCTAAAAAAAAAATTATAAATGTCTCAAATTCAGTTTTATAATTTTTAAATTATAAAATTAAACTGTCATAAACTTAACCTAACCAAACCAACCAAACTTGCTGATATGAAAAAAATGTTGACAAAAAGTTAATGCTATCAACGGGATTCGAACCCGGCACCTTTCAATTATCAGCCCGACACGCCATCCACTACACCACCAAGGCTCATGACAATGATCCGTATCGTTGCGGTAATGGTTGACGTCACGCCATCGGCACGGAGCGGTGGTGGGGGGTTTTCAGATCTGATCCTCGTTCCTCGAAGTTGCACTGGCTGCCTAGATGCTTATAAGTTTGGTAGGCACTTTAAAAATTGAAAAACGTAAGGGGTGAACAAATTATTTTTTTACTCGTTTCAATTTCAAGATAACAACCTAAAATAAATTTGAGGTTTATAAAACTTAACTAGCTATCACTACAGATTTTTTAATTCTTTCTAATATAAGGCATGTATTTTTTTTAAAATTTCAAAAAAGTTCATACCCAATTACCCCTAATACCCAATTCCCCCCTAGGCCTACATATCTTTGTTGCGAGTAATGCACTTTGAGGTTAGTGGAAGTTCATAGAGTGATACAATGGAATAATAACAAGTGATATTAATGTTTATTGTACTTTATTTAGGGACCTCAGTTATATAAAAATGGTAAGTTACATTAGTAAAACAAACACTTAAACACTGCTCAAAATTATATGATTTCCACATTTTTCAGTGAAACATGCATTTGAGGTTAGGAAGTTCTGAAGCCACGGCCTTCTTGATCTGCTGATCTGACGCTGACGTCATAGCTTAATGTTGGTTTATTGGCAGTTTTACATCCATTTTGATATGTCTGTTTGTCTCTCTGTCTGTTATTTAAATGTGTTTGAAGATATTAAAACAGATGGAAATGAAAACAAAAATATCGATATTTCTAAAAGAAATCATCGATAATAAGTTAATGAATGTTCCCCTTAACAGGAAAGTACCAATACTTTTTACACAAAATAAGTCATGTGGGTATTATAAATGACGGGAAAATTGTGTATGGTAATACTGAACTTAAGTTATATATTGAACCGACGAATGAAAAAGGGTAGGCTACAGTTTCTTAACTGGGCTACACTAATATCAATTGAAACCAGGCCTATCTATTCGATTAGTAGGCCTAAGTTAAACCTTCATGCGATTTTTCACCATCAGCAAGTTTGGTTGGTTAGGTTAGGTTATGATAGTTTTATTTTGTAATAGATAGGCCTAAGCATATTTTAAAATATTGATTATTGATCGATATTTTCAATTCGATAGTTTCAATCAATATTAGCGTAGGCCTAGGCTATCCCAGTTAAGACACTGTACCCATGAAGAATAATCCATATAGCCTAGACCTATCGATCGATATTTTCAACCAGTTGTTTTAGACAACAGATACGGAAATCTACCCGGGGAAACAACTATTTCACCCTAAAAATCGAGTTTGAACATCGCGAAAGGCGCTAGAAATCAATGATTTTTGGGGCTTGAAAAAGATATGGTTTCACTCCAAAGATTATCACTTAGCCTAGGCCTAACATTATTGGTACACTGGTGAATGACAAGGTGCTAGCCTACATTATAACAATGATTAATAAATAATAATAATTTTTTATTTTGATTTTATAAAATAAGTGCTAGGTAGGCCTAACTTACCCCTTTGTTATTTGCTCGCCATACATAGTCAACACCAGCATCAAAGGATCGTTCAAAAACAAACGCTGCAGCTACAATGGTCATAGTATAAGTGGAGGTTCTCCTCAGTAGAAGATTGTACAATGAATTCGCAAGAGACATTTCTAATATTTGCTTAAATCTGATTGTATGAAGTAGATGACCGATTGACCTAGGCAGCTTCGCTTCAGCTAGGACTCAAGAAAAAACCGAACCGAGTATGTGTGTGTATGTAGGACTGTAGGAGTGGGAGTGGTGAGGAGAGGAGCGAGGGAGGGGAGATTTGACCTTCCCTTAGTGAGGAGACTAGCTCAGGAGGGATTGGGATCAGTGTTTCCATTCGCGGGATTAAAACACTGAGCTAATTATAACTGGAGGTAGCACTGCCATGACAGAAGTCTCTCAAAAGCGTGTCGCTGATTTTGTTAGGTTGGTATAGCAGCAGGTTTTTTCATCCAATAACATGGCTTCTATAACTAGGTTTGCATAGCAGTGAGTTTTTTCATCCAATAACATGGCTTCTTTATAACTCACACCTCACGCAAACATGGCGGCTGGCGACACGCATCGTTGACATTCAGTGCTACCTCCAGTTAGAATTATAGCTCAGTGGATTAAAACGGGATGCGGGATAAAACGGGATTTTCGGCTGTGACAACTATTATTATTTTTTTCTACTTAATTTTAGAGAAAAACTAACTCGAATTGATTAAATACTGTAGCAAAATATATTAGTGATGTTTAAACATCTTTGTAAACATGATACGTCAAGTATAATACTAGGTATTGTACAAAATAAATCATGCGGGATTGAACGGGATTTTTGTGTAGGTGTAGCAGAAGCAGACTGCAGAACTCAGTACTACCACTACACTACACTACCGTACTACTTCTTGTGGTCACAATTTCTGGTTCTATAAAAGCTAGCTTATATTTAAAACCATGAAGCTGAAGAGTTTTTAAAGCTTTATATAATTTTGACGAATTGCTATGACAGTATGTTTTATCATAGACTAACCATAGACTAACCAAAATGACTGTATTAACGGGAAACAAATTGTAAACAAAACACGACCTCTAACATAAAACCGTACAGAACTAACAATAAAATTGTCTTCAGCTGTTCCATTAGGATGAGCAATCTACTAAGGGAGTATGTTTTATCATAGACTAACCGAGTATGTTTTATCTCTTGGTTTTATCTATGGTTTTATCTATGCTATGACGTAGGCCTAATTGGCTAAACACCACAGACTAACCAACACTCCTAATCCCATTGTAAATTTTGAAACTCGTTTTTCGTAATTTCGTGTCTAGTTTATGTCCGGTGACACTGGTCGCTAGTGTCCACGAAATGTTGTTCCTATTATTTTAGGGCTAATTTCACGTGTTTTGCTTTACTGGTTGGTTATATAAAATACCCCCGCCGCAGCAAACCTGCAGACTAGGCGAATTTCCATTTGCCTGTTGTACCTGATTGGATTTACACTAAAATGTCTCCTTAAAAATATCACAATTAATTATTCCATGGTGGAAGGGGTGGAAGGAAAAAACACAGGTGTGCTTATACCTCCCGTAAGTCAGACCCTAGAGCTTAGAGGCACCGGACCCGGACAGAACTGACATTTAAGCACGGCCTCCTTTAAGCCCCCCACACACTACAAGACCAGACCTCCAGACCAGACCGTCTGGTCTGGCGTCTGGCACTTGTCTTATCGTGTGTGGGGCTGTCTGCAGACCGATTTTCTCGGACCAGACTGTCTGCGTGTCTGATGGTTGAACCCTCAGACCACAGACGGTCTGAGGTTCCCCCACCACTATTTTTATCTGGTCTGTGAGTGTGTAGCGCTGTCTGTCAGACGGCCGACCGTCTTCATCCATTTGTTGGAGTTCTCACCACGGTGTCTCAAAGACGAATATTGGAATGTCTGGTCTGGGAGTGTGTAGAGCCGTCCAAGACGGTCTGGTTGTAGCCAGACGGTCTGGTCTGGAGGTCTGGTCTGGTAGTGTGTGGGGGGCTTTAACTTCAGGCCTTCTAAGGGGCAACGTCGCAAGTGGTGTTGTAACAGCTGTTTTGTTTGGAAGCAGCTAATGGTAATTTGTGTATTATTTAAGAATACAAAAGCTTGTTTACTGGGCTATGAAAATATTGACTCCAATTTAATGTAAAAAAATAGATTTTCAATTTAAATAATGTTTTGGTTTTTAATCCTATATTTTTTTTCAATCTTTTAATAAATTTATGTTAACAAATTTAAATTTAAATGAATGATACGCAAATTAATGAGCTGGTGTCACCCTGTCTGCCATGCTATCTTATGGGACGTCTAGCGCTAGACAACACCACTTGCAACGTTGCCAATTCTACCAGGCCGCGGCCTGGAGTTAAAGGTGGCCGTGCATTGAAGTATGTTGAGCCAAAGATTAAACATACTCCTAACTATAAACTATAACATAAAAGGAGTATGGTGTTGTTGTACTACAGTTAATGGAACTAGTTATTCCCTTGTCGACACGACCATACACGACGTATTTACCACTACTGTAGAAGGAAGATTTGATTTGACTGTTACTGTTATTGTTAAATAACTTTGAATCACAATTGATTATATGTAAGTTTCGTATTCTGCATTGTTAACATAATGGTTTTATAAAAATGTCTGTCGTTGTGCAATCATTTTATAATCAATGCATCTAAAATCTAAAGTCCCTTTATTCTACGTTTAAAAGAAATAAAGAAGGTTCAATTTTCGATTTCCCTTTCTCGTCCTTGGTTGATTGTTGTTGTTGATGTTAACTTCAACTAACAAACAATATACAAACGGCGGCGCCAGCATCGGCATTATTTACAAACAATCTAAACTAAGTTAGCAATGTTAGCACGGTTGATCGATGTTCCAAAATAAAATCCAAAATCAACATTAAATTGATTAATCCTCCTCAAGCAGTGATGATTTCAAATAATGCCTGTTACTGTTAGTCCTACTCAGTTTATTGTTGAATCAAACCCACAGAAGGTTAAATTCCCAAGTGACAACTTAAAGCAAGATCGAGATCATGAATGTTATACGAGCTACACTTAATAAGAAAACCTACAAAAGTAGACCTAAGAGATTAAAAAATGCACCTATGTTCCAAACATTAAGTAAGTACGTAGCATATATTCTTCTAAACAAATATTCTACCTACAGCCAATGGAAACTGTAACTTACTAACTTTGGTCTACAAAGTGACTTAGGCTAACAAACTGGTTGATTGCTGAAAACCTAACCTTCCCCTTCCCTGTAGTATAGTGGTTTGTTGGTTTGAGGAGGGCTACTTGCATACGCCTTGCTTTCTGTAGCTTGCATCAGAACAGGACTCAGGAGGGTGTTTGTTATATTCCGGACTTGTGGTTAAGTTACATTAGGGCTTATTTAGGGCATTATTCTATTCTGTCCTTTCTTATTAGCACCAACCTTCCTTGGTAATTTCATAACACAGGAAGAATTGTATTACTTATAGCCCAGTTAAATTAGGCTAATCGGGTGAAATAATTCCCGGAGAGTTGGAAGTTTGTTTAAATGTTCCTTTTGTTCATTAGATTGAAGAAAATAAAAAGTCCTGATGGATGGGGGTCGAGCTTGACTAAGGGAAGGGCTCTGAATGTAACTTTTTTTAGTGTTGCGCTTATATATCGGAATCTGTAAGTAATATTGAAAAGTGTTAAATACAAAAGTTGTAGCTGACAAAATTCCCTACAAAAATGACTGTAGGCATTTTTTTGTAGGACTTAACCATTTAAAGCTAATGGTTAAAGAAAATAACAGTAAATTAAAATGGTGTTTTATTTGCATGGAAGATGAAACAGGCTCGAAAAGACAAAGTCTTATCATTGGCCTCAATGAGCAGCATTAGCAAAATTAATAACGTAGTGCAATTTCAACGAGTTGCAATTTGAAAGAAACGACGAGGATCTAGAGGACCTTCTGTGCTACGAGCTGCGCCTTTCCCCTTTATAGCTCTGTTTGATGAATTGATAATTGATGAAAGATATATGAGAAAGACATATGTCTTCTTTATATGATTTTTCCATGTTCATTAGTTAACTCCAGACCTTAAGCTCTAAATTTATGTTATTGAAGGTGGCTTTTTGTTACATCGCGTTAAGTGGATCGTAGTCCTAACTTTCTCAGTTGTAATCAAACAATATATGACGTACATAAAGAAACACTATGGTGAATTCTGCACTGTTGTGTTTAATGGTTCCTGAGATACTGCCAAAAGAACAAAACAGGCCAAACAGGAGCCGCCACCACCAAGACCGTATCAGTCGACATTGATTTCACTGAAGAAATTACAGTGACAGTACAGCAAGAAAACGTTCTTTGTAATAACAAAAATAAAACGAGGTTCATCAATATGCTTTCTCAGAAAATGATCTCTGAGGGTATAGAAGTCAGACGTTCTAAGGATGATGCTGATACAACAATTTTGCGTTGTGCAGTGAAAAAAGCAGCATTCAGTGGTCATGTTGCTATCGTTCTTACTTACTTACTCTTACTCCTTTAGAGGATATAAATTTGCTGGTCTTGTTGATTGCATTAGCTTCACTTGAACAAGAAATTATCTTCTTCAAACCAGAAAAAATGTAACCTAAAGTTAATGTTATTCCTACGTTGGATTACAGAAATGTGACGATGAATTGAATGAAACTTTGCATTTGCCAGAAGTATATTCTTTATTCACGGGTTGGGTGTGATACCTTCTCGTCCTTTTACAGAAAAGGCAAGTCATTAATTTTGAAAATAGTCTCGATACCATCACCAACGTATTTTACCAACTTCGGCCCAAAAGGAAGTCTCGATAGCCGGCGAGTGGATGATCCTAGTGATGTTCAAATCCCGAGCAAAATATCTGGGCAGACACCGATACATCGCATTCATCAAATCCACCACTAGGCCGAAGGCAGACCTCCCGTCTCTGCCACCAACGGAAGGCTCTGCCCAGCAGCATTCGTATAGAATATATTTGCAAGTGCAAGAATGGCTGGGAGATAAACTACCACTAACTGATTGGGGTTGGACAACGGGCACCGAAGGACAACTACAACCCCTTACTACCCTAGATCCTTATACTCCGGCCGCTATCCTCACAATAATCTTTTGCAGTTGTACAAAAGGTTGTGGAACACGTTGTGGGTGCCGTAAAGCGAGGATCTACTTCTCAACAATGTGTGGAACTGTGAGGGAGCGTGAACCAAAGGCCCTCTAGTAGACGACGATTCCTTGAATGTGGATGATACTGAAGAAACCCTGGATCTCATAGTTTAAACGATATGACCCATGTTTGTAATCATTAAAATTATGTTTAGTAATATTAACTTTAAGAATAGAAATGCTAATAAAACACGATTGTATTATACTGTTATTTTCTTTAACCTTTAGCTTTAAACGGTTAAGTCCTACAAAAAAATGCATAGGCCTACAGTCATTTTTGTAGGGAATTTTGTCAGCTAGGCCTACAACTTTTATATTTAACACTTTTCAATATGACTTACAGATTCCAATAGGCCTATAAGCGAAAAACTAAAAAAAGACACATTCAGAGCCCTTCCCTTGGTCAAACTATTTCACTTAAGTCACATTTAATTTTTATCAATCTCAAATCAACTCTCTTGTAAAATGGTGTTTGCCGTGCATGTAATAAATAAAAAAAAAAGCTCGACCCCCACCCATCAGGACTTTTTATTTTATTCAATCCAATGAACAAAAGGAACATTTAAACAAACTTCCAACTCTCCGGGATTTTTTCACCCTAATGGCAATTTTTTGTTTTATTTGACTGAGCTATTAGCCTAAGTAACATAGCTTAGCTCGGTCTAAGGAGAAAAGACATAAGACATTTATTCATCTTTAGACAATTAAGTTACATGTAATCGATCTTGTTATGGACACTTGAAATGCACAACAGTAAAACGTATGCTAGGCCTACAACAAATAAATAGGCCTAGATAAATAAATACGGTAGGGTGAATGTGGGTAATTGTGAACTAGGGCTGTAATTTCTTAGAGTATTGTTGATTTTAGTAGAATCAATGTTTATTTGGTTTGTTTTCTATAGGTAGGCCTACACAGGATAAAAATTCTAGAAAGTTAAGAGCCGCTTAACATTTATTTTTTTATGTTGAAAAAAAGTTGCGTTTTTCGTTGACAAACAAGTTGTGTAGACCTTAGCAAATATTTTTTTTGTGAAAAAAGTAAAAGTCAGATTGACATGAAAACCAGTAATTATGAAAAAATTTCAAATGTATAATGCATTATATATCCTCATATCCATCCTGTAAGCAATTTTCTTTTTATTTTATCAAATTCACAATTACCCTTAATATTTTACTATGTGGGGGTAGTTGTGAACCTAATCTTGGGGCAATTGTGAACTCTGTTCACTTTTACCCCGCCTGTAAAAGAAACACATTTTTGGTTCTCATTAAAGATTATTCTTCAAACCAATTATGCTGCTAACCCCAGAAACACTGTGGTAGGCCTATAAAAAAATACAGATTAGGCTACTTACAAGTTTCCAGGTTGTGTTCCAGTTTTTGAGATGTAGGCGGACAGGACAGTTAGTTAATGATTTGATTTCTAAATAGGCCTAGGTTTTTTTAAAAGATTTTCAAGATCAAAAAAAGCATTTTTAGTATACAAGTAATATTTTGTATAGCCTATAAGGAAAGTGCATAATTATTCTATCCAACCAATGTAATTTCGTTTTCTTTTCTAATGGTTGATTGGTATTACAGTAGGGTTTCAATAATTTTATGAAACAAATTTGTGCTCTTTCGTTTGTTAAAGTGAGATTATTTTGTCATTTCTTTTAAATGTTTGCTATAGTGTATCAAATAACTACTCTATATTATTTTCTCTTGTTTAAGAATACTATTTTACCCATTAAGTACATTAATTTTAAATATTCTGACCATTTTTTGTTATTTTTACATCTACCTGATTTTCTAACTATTTCAAAGTACCACGGAAAAATTTTATTTGCACGCTTATTTTTTGTCACATGCCATTGAAATTAGGGAATTTGTGAACAGTTTGAATTAGGCTTTAATCACAATTCCCCTTCTATGCTGTAGTAGCCTATGTAACTTAAATGCCGTCCGGGCAATTGTGAATGCTGATTAACTCCTTCACTAAATTGTGCTGTTTGGTATTTTTATAATTGTTATCATATGTTGCATATTTGATGTTTATTTTTATTGTATTGTTGTTTTGAGCTTGAGGACTTACTTTTGGGATCTTGGCTAATAAAGTATCTATGTTTAACTGTGGTGTGAGTTTTACCTTTCACTTCATGGTGTCAGGTTAAATCAACTTTTGAGGAGAAGAAAGAACTAAGAATGGCTGAAGCAATGAGTAGTACAGTTCAATACCAACTTGTCACACCTGAACCTTTCAATTTCAGGGAACTTTCTGAATGGCCTAGATGGATAAGAAAATTTGAAAGGTTTAGATTAGCCTCAGGATTAGACAGTAAGAGTGGGGAAAATCAAGTTAATATGCTTTTATACTGTCTAGGAGATGAAGGAGAAGACCTTCTAATCTCTTTCGGATTAAAAGATGAAGAATTACAGAGTTATGACACTGTCAAGGGTAGATTTGAGTGTCTTACTTAGATTTCAAAATCAATATTGTATATGAGAGAGCTAAATTTCTAAAAATACGTCAGTCTGAGGGGGAACCTGTTGATTCTTTTATAAATAGTTTACACAAACTGGCAGAGCGATGTAAACTTGGGGAATTAAAAGATGAACTATAGAGATTTGATAGTAATTGGGGTAAATGATAGTAAACTTTCTCAAAATTTACAGTTGGATGAAAAATTAACCTTATAAGTATAGAAATGTTGAAAGCAATACAAGCAGAGAGTTTAAAACAACAACAAAAAGTAGTGAGGGAATTGCCAGAAATTGAGTTTGTCAATAAGGGGATTAATCAATCCACTAAACATCGGTTTAGGGACAGTTCTTGCAATAAAAGTCAAGATCAAAGCTTTTCAAAGAAAGGTAAATGTAACAAATGTGGATTTGTTGGGCATCACAATAGCAATGATTGTCCTGCCAATCAGTCTACGAGTGAAAATTTAAAAACGTACGTTTTC